AAATCAAAATCAGAGGCGCTGCAGGTGGGCCGGTTGTGTGAAGCGCTTCCTAGGAACCCTTTGCAGCCCCTCTGAGGGTTTCTTAGGTGAGGACCTGGATCTTTTCGTCTAATTTTACATGGAACCCGGAGAGAACTGAACATGCCTTGCTGGGATAGGCGGGGATAAGAGGTGGGAAGAACCCGGCATTTCCCCAATATCTGTTGATCTGAAATGCGTTTGGCCTTTCCAGGATGGTGCGGTTCAGCCATGGTGGGACACACACACACACACACACACACCCAGCTGCAACATACACATCCCTGGGGATGCTCAGCAGCTGTGGGGCCTCTGGCTCCTCCTTGGAGGTCCCGCGTCTCACGTCTCTCTAACTGCCATGGCTGCGTCTGCTGGGCCCCAAGCAAAGGTGAGCAGTCACCGTGGGAGCTCCCTCCCTGCCCTCGTGCCCCTGTGCCGTCCTTGGAGGGGAGGCAGCAGAGCCGCCCTGAAGGTTTGCCAGGAAGGAAGTGGCTTCTTTTAATCGCCAAGATCAGGATAGGTTGAGCCTCTCTTGCTATTGTCTACAGCAGCTGCTCCAGCTGTGAACTGTGTGCCACGAGGGGCCTCGGCCAGGTGTTGCCAACCCAGGCCTCGCCTTAGCAGGAGGGGAGGGGTTGGAGATGCGCCGACAGTGGGTGTCAATGCAGCCTCCCCAGGACCTCCCAGGGCCCCAGGAAGCTCTGCCCCCCGAGGCCTGTCCTGGGGTTGGCAGGCAGGCAGGGAAGAGGGTGGGGGCACCCAAACAGCCAAAAGTGGCACTGATGGCATCTTAGTTCCGCATCCTGTTTTGCATTGTTCCCACCCGCTGCTTTTCTCACCTCCCCCCCCCTTGAAAGACCCAAGCAGTTTGTAAACATCTGGGTGGAGCGAAGACCCCCTGGAGAAGGTGAATCGGAGCCTGCCGTGGGCTTCCTTCCGTGGTAAGGAAACGCCATTTGGCCCTTGGAAGCCTGTGGCCCTCCGGAGGGCTGGAAAACGGCCCCTCCGGTTCTTGGGGGCGAAGGAGCAGAGCCCTGGAGAGCAAGCGTCTTCCCAGCATCCCTTTGGGTTGGGAAGGATCCAAATCCTGGTTAGATCAGGATATCGATTTCAGGTTGATTGACGATGCTTCCAGTTGATGAAGCCATTTGAACTCTGCTCCGAGACCAATCGGGCTTTTCTGGATAAACTCTGCCAGGCCAATCTAGTCCCTTGGCAAAAGCCCCTCCTGGGCTCCGTAGAGCCTGGCTCCCTTCCCTGTCCAGGCGTTGCTCAAATAAGGAAGCGGCCCAGCCTGGCCCTGCCCAGAACGAGGCCCCGGAGCTTCTGGGCTAAATTCCTGGGAAGCCACGAAGAAGCAGGAGGCTTTGGCTGTCAGAGCAGTCACGACATCCAGGCTAGGGCAGCCTCCATGCTGGTGTCTTCCTGGGCCTGTCCTGTCCCCCCCCAGCCCCCCCCCCACTTTGTTGAGTGGCAGGTCCAGAAAATGAGGCCCCCCTTTTGGTCTCTGAGGCCTTTCCTACTTCGGCTCTTCTTGGGAGGAGAACCGGCTGCAGGATCCTCAGGCGGGGCTGGCTGGAAGGGGCTGCTTCTGCCATGGGGGCAGGTAGGGCCTGCTCCCAGCCCAAAGGAGGCTGCAGTCTCCCGTGGGGCAGGGCGCAAGGAGGGGGACGGTGCGGAGGCACCTGGGCAACCCAGCAGGATGAGTCTTGGGCAGCCTCTGCTAAGGCTGGCGACAGCTCAGCCGCCCGGATGACGGTTGGTTGGGCTGCCTTTGCTTTCAGTTTCTGCCAGACCAGGCAAGGGAACGGCAAGTTCCTTCCTTCTTCCCTCCTTCCTTCCTTCCTTCCTCCTCCTGTCACCTCATGTCAACCCTGGGTGGCTGCAGACCTCATGTCAACCCTGGGTGGCTGCAGGCTGGGCCAAGATCTTCTCCTGGGACTTCCCCGGCTGAGCCAGGATTCAAACCTCCGCAACTGAGGGGAACCTAAGCCGAGGTGGTGCGTGTGGGGAGAATCCAGCCGAGCAAGGATGGACGGAGGACTCAACTTGCTTCAAACAATCGGCTGCCTGAAGCAGATTTGGAGAAAGCCAGCAGAGCATCAGGGACCACCAGGAAACGGGAGTCTTCTGAGAGAGATGGAGAAAGCTTTGCACTCCAAGAAACGGATGCCCAGTTCTGCATGAGGCGCCAAAGCACAGCTGGGGCCTCTGTCTGTTTATTCCCCCCCCCTTTCTCTTTTTACAAAACCTTGTTTAGGGTCGAATTCCCTTTGTTTGATGGAGACAGAACCAAAGACGGTTGTAGAGGGACTCAGTCCTCCGTTGCAGACTGAAAAAAACCTTGTTGATTCTGGGGAAACAGACCTGCTCTTCCTGAGAAATGAAAGAGAACAGAATGACAAACAAACAGAGAGAGAGAAAGAAAGCTGGTGGAAGTTAAGGAAATGAACGGGGTTCCTTGGAAACGGCAGGCATTGCTCAGAATGAGGGGAAATTGCAGATGCTCCCATTTTTTCACAGTTCCATATAAGATTTACCTCCTTATGGCTCCTCTATTATTAGGCTTTAGTCAGCCGTTCCGCGGAGCCAAGTGGATTTTTTTTTCTGGGGAAAAAGTTCTTAGAAGTTTGCTCTGCTTGTCAAGCCCAGTTTTGCTAGTTAAACAGATTCGTGTATTTTGTTGTGCACAATCATTCCCTCCCCCCACCCCCCAAATTACTTGGAAATCATGGCTAGGAAGGAAGTGCAGCTGAATGCGCTGGCCAGGGGCCCAGATTTAGTGGAGCACTGAATCCAATTAGGAGTTGGAGAAGGTGGGCAGAAAGATCTTCTCTGGGGAAGGGAGCCCTAAGCCGTCCTCTCCGCTTCTGCCCCGGGCCCTCATCCTGTCCCCAGTCCGGCTCCGGCTCCTGCTCTCCCGGCTGCCATGCGCCTTCAGCCTTCAAGGGCCACCTTGCCCCCAGAGCTGCAGTGGGGGCAGGGGAGGCTCTTTGCCCTTTGGCAGCACAGAGAGCTTATTTTAATTCACCTTCAGGTAGGGCACCTGCTTTCTATTCTCTCCAACTGACTGAAAACGGGAACAAAATAAACTCGGAAGCACCCATCCGCACATAGAATGAGTGCGCAGAGCCAAAGCGGGGGGGGGGAGAGGAGGAGGAGGCCAGGATTGGTATGGATGGAGAAGCCACTCAAATAAAGCTGGATCCAGCTGGGGGTGGAGAGGGAAAAATCCCCCCTCCCCATGGATGCTGAAGGGGGGCATCAGTGTAGGCAGCGGATTCTCCCAGCCTAACCTCCCACCCTCCAGGTCATGTGACAGAGAAGAGCTTTGGCCTTCAGACACACCCATCACTCAGGAGAAAAGGGGGGGGGCTTTTCTCGTGCGGGCTAAAGGGGCCGAAAGCAGCTTTGTAGCCTTTTTGATTCTGCTTTGGCTGAGACCCACAGAACACACACACACATACACCCTGGGGCTGATTCGGGGAAAGGAGCAGAGAGAAAACCCAGATTTGCTATAAGTTGCCCCATTTCTCTGCTGGCATCACTGCTCTGAGCAGCCGAGGGAGAAAACCTGCCTGGATCTCCCCTGCACAAAATCTGCAGCCTGACTCTCTCCAGGCTTTAGAGCCCCTCGATGCTCCCCCTTCCCACCAAGCAAGCCAGGCTCTGTGCCAGGCCCCCTGGAGGAGGGGGCTCTTCCTCCACCCACAACTAGAGACGCTTCCCCAGGCCGGCAGATGGGTTCCCTGCATCCCTTCAGAACTTGCTCTTGCGACCTGGAGTTGCAACTCTCAGAGGGGGTGGGGGGCTCAGGAGAGGTGCCTGGGAAGTACTCAGAAGCCCATGAGCCACGCAGGGTCCCCTGCCCACCCCTGAGCAGGGAGGCTCTCCTGCAGGAGGGGTCAGCAGTGGGCAGGGCCCAAGTGACCCTCCAGGGGGCCCCTCGGCTGTCTCCTCCTGCCCCTCCCCCAGGAAGGATGGAGATGGCCCTGCCCAAGAGGGAGCTTTCTGCGCTGGGGGGTTCTTGGCAGAGATCCCTTTGGGTCAGAGAGGGATCCAGTGTGAAGCCCAGGTGGGGAGCTGAGGGGGATCCATCCCACTCTTGGCTTTTTCCTCACCAACAACTCCCAGGACACAAAGACCAGAGAGAGTTTGTTTTCCCTTAGAAAAAGCACCTTCATAATAAGGTTTATTATTAACTTTTAGAAAAAATAGATATAAAGTAACAAAAATCTTTCTGCACAGCAGAAAATGACTGGAAAGGCTTTTGAGGGCCTCAGTTTGTGCAAACAGTTCAAGTGTGTAAACATTGGAAGTCAAGTGTTCAAATTCAGTGGAACTGCTACAGAATCGAGAGGTCTCAGTCCCTGGGCTTGTAAAACAATCCAGCCAGGGCTCTGATTCACGTCTTCCCAGAGTGGCACAACGCCCAGCGCCACAGGCGGTTTGCCCCCGCAGGGGCTCCGTTTCTCCCACAACGTCCGCACCACAACTGGCTCCCTGGACTGCACCCCCCCAAGGCACCACTTCCAGCGCAGGGACCCTCCTCCTCCTCCTCCTCCTGGCCTCCGGTGCGTCCACTGGCATAATGCTTCCCGCTCACAATTTAAAGGGGAAGGACTCCAGGTAAGCCTTCAGGACCGGGTTGAGCGGGACGCGTGGCAAATTCTCCCTCCCAAAAGTCGCCACAATGTTTTTGCGGCAGAGATCCTGGAGCGACCGCAGGCGGTCCTTGTGTAGTGGGGCCACCAGGACCTTCCGGGGCGAGTGGACGTAATGTTCCAGCAGTTTGAAGAGGCAGTCGAAGGCCTCTTTGCTGCCCTCCAGGCTGAAGCGGCCGGCCTGGAAGAGGACCCGCACGCTGGTAGGGCCGGTGGCCGTCTTAACGCTAACGCTGAAGAAGCAATTCTTTTGCCGGCTGTCGCGCAGAAGGAAGGTCCCCACCAGCTCGTCCTTCAGTTTCTCGTGAGCAGCGCTGACCGACAGCGGACCCCAGTAGAAGCCGCACTCCTCCAGCAGGGTGCTGGTGCGGACAATGATGCCAAAGTCCTCCTGTGAGCGGAAGGTGTGGAAGTGGGTGTCCCGTGGGGCTTGCACTGTGCCATGGGGGGGCCGGACCTGCAGAGCGGCCCGGATGGGGGGCTGGAGCCGGCCTCTCAGCCCCGCTGCAATTCCATGCTCAGGCGTGACGCTGCTGTGTGCTACCATCCTACAACCGAGACCCACTGGAGCTGCCTCCCATCGCGGGGGGGCCCAGGGGGGGCCTGCTGTGTTGGGGATCACCTGCCAATGAGAGAGAAACAAAAGAGGTCACTTGGGGTCCACCGCAGGAGGTCAAAGGAGCCCCGCTTGGGCCACGAAGAGGAACATCCGGAACCGAAGCTCTGCCAGGCAAGCCCAACTCCTGGCTGCCTTGGTCAGGAAAGAGGCACCCCGCTCTGCCGTGGCTTCCCCCTCTCGGCCACAGAGGCCCATTGACAGGAACCGCCAGCTCAGCTTCGGGCCTTTTCCATCAGATGCTCCGACCGCCAGCCCTCCCCCGCCCAGCTTCTCTCCAGGAACAGAGGCAGAGTGAAAGACCAACCTTCGCGGCAAGATATTTTCGGCCTCCCCTCCCTCACCACAATGAGTTGCTGTGCCTACGCTCCTCCCCCCCCCTTTCTGGTTTTAGTCTGAATGGTTACGAGAAGGAGGGAAGTCTCATCCACCAGAATCTCTGCTCCCCAAGTGATGTATGGAACAAAGAGGCTTCCTGGCACAGAAGCAGCCCCCAGCCCCACCTCCCCGCAAAGCCTGTGCAGGGCAGATTTTGCCCCATCTCTTTTCTCCTCCTCTCTGGTGGGTGGGAAACTCCCCCTAAAAGAGTACAAGAATTTGCTCCGCCCTAAAGCCCCCCCCCAGGTGGACCCCAATGCCCCCCTTTCCTCAAAGCCCAGCCATCTTTGGGACTTGTCTGCTTGCCAGATCCCTGCGTAATCTGAGCTCTCCCTCTCAAGCAGCCCCTTCCCCCCCAAAGCAGCCTTTCAGATCAGCCTCCCTAAAGAGGAGCCTTCCCCTTCAAAGGTTCTTCAGTTGCTCTTCCTCACTGCTGCCGTTTCCCGAGGGGTCTCCCAGCTGGGGGCAGGAGGAGGTTCTCCCAGGGGAGCCCCGAGAATCCAGGGCTCATGCGGGGTAGAGTCACTGGGGAGGGGCAGCGTGTAAGTGCAACCAGTAAAAGGAGGAGCCTCCCCTTCAGTAGAAGGGGAGAGCTGACCCCTTCTGGGCTGAGGGATGCTGGGCTTCTGCAGGTAGGGGGGTCACAGCAGCGCCCCCAGCCCCATTGGCCTGCCGACAAGAGCAGGCGCGCCTAGTGGCACTTAAGGGAGCAACTTCGGGATAAGGACCGACTGGAATTGTCCTCCTTGAACCAACCAAGGAGACTTGGGGGTGGGGGGGGCTTTTATGGGGCTGCCACTGAACTGCCCGCCCCAGGGGCAAGGCCGGCAGAGGGCAAGTAGGAGCCCCCAGCGGCTGGGCCGGAGGAAAGCCCCGCGCCGCCCGAAGCTGCCCCCCAGGCTGGCATGTGGGGAGGGCGAAGAGAGGCGCGCGTGGCGGGGGAAGAGCCTTCAAGCAGGCGAGGAGGGCGAGGCGAAGCCGCCTCTTCCAGTTGCTACACTACGCTGGAGGCGGCCGCCCTTCCCCGGAGCGCAGGGGCCGCTGCTGGCCCCCGATCCCGCCGGCTCCGGCTCCCCTAACAGGCGCCGTCCGCGGGTTCCTACAGGCGCCGGTGGGGACTTCTCACTCGGCCGCGTCCCGGAAAGGCAGGCAACCACCTCCCCGCCCAAGGCTCTTACCGGGGGCGCCTGGGCGTCGGTCGGCTGCCTTCCCCGCCCGGAGCCGCGGGGCCGGATGGGGGACGCGGCGGGGCCGCTCAAGGC